TCTAGCCCTTTCTACTAACTTATTCCACTGCTATTGATGCTTGTTGCTGTTTGACTAGAGTCCTAAGGATTGAGTTTGGTAATCCCACTAAGGACCCATCTACCCTAATCAACAGTAAGTAAAGAGATCGACAGACTCTTTCTCTATTTATCTCCTATCTAAGGTTGGGGGAGGGGGTGTTGAGAAGGATGTAAAGATGTTAAGAACGTTAAATAAAGTAGGTGTTTGAAAAATATAAGCTTTCAGCCCAGTTCATTCCCTTCTTATCACGCCAGTCAATCTGATGTGACTCCCTCCTCCTGAGAAAGGGGGCATCACTTCACAGCCATTTCTGGGTAACATGGCTATTGCTAAGATAAGACTTGAAGAACATTGTGTGTGTGTGTCTGTATGTGTGTTTGTGTGTGTGTGTGTGTGTGTGTGTGTGTGTGTGTGTGTGTGGCTATTAGTAGTCTGCCTTTTTGAGAGATGGAAGATGGAGGAGCTTTGGTAAATCGGATCTGCCTGAGACAGTAAGAGCAATGACTAGTCTCGTAGCTCGATAGTGGGGGACAGAACAAAAACAGTGAGTTTTTGCTGACCGTGTTAAAATCAGTTCCTTCCTGTCTCCTAAATTCTGAAGCTGTTCACGCTAAGCCCTAGGTATGCCCTGATCTGATGGTCTTCGTACTTCATCTCATTGACTTTCCTCCCAAGCTGAATAAAGTATCAGCCTGTTTTCACCAAAGAGGAAATTAAGGTTCTGAGAATTTGAACGGAAGGCCACATGGCCAAATTAGGTTTACACCCAGGTCTCTTGACTATAATTGCATTTTCTTTCTTTTTACCTAACTGTGGAATTTGAGGAAAGGAGTAATCTTGGTATCAGTGTGACTGGAAGACCTGGTGCTACTTCTTATATGAGTACACTACAGCCAAGCAACTGATGAGATGATGTGTTATGGATCCTCTGTGCTATTGAGAGAAACTTGTTCTGGCCTTTATCTCGTGCTCGCTGATATATTTGTTTTTTAGCTTCTGCCAGTTACAACACTCTTTAGAACATCCTTCATGTGCAGTTCTATGAAAGGCAACTTTCCAGATTGCCTGTGTCCAACCTCATACCCTATAACTTCCCTTTTAGATGTTGCCTTCTTGACTGAGGCCTGCGCATTATTTTTTCCCCATTTATTCATGGGGATAGGTGTAAATTGACCAGACTGAAGACACTAGAAAAAACAAACATGCAAATGAAATAAATGACCTTTTCTGTTATTACAGACAAACCCTTTAATCTCTGCTCTTGAGTTTCTTCTTATGGGAAACTAGAGCACTATTTCCTACTTATTATAGTTTTTATGTAGGTTGGAAAGAACATATTTAAGATACCAAGAACCTAGCAAGAATGCACTAATAATGCTTATTCTTCTGCAATCAATAAACCTGCACAGAAGTCAAAGACACATGGGAGTTGTGAGGGTTTCAACACCTCTACCATGGAAACCTGCTACCAGGGCTACAAGTGGCTGACAGGTCCTGGTTGCTTACTGTGTTTAATCCATGCTACACACTTGTTAGACATGACTTTTCCCTATACTCTTCCCATCTCCTTTCTCTTCTCCAACACCACTTTCTGATCCAAGACATGTCCTTATGTGGACAGCTCCCTTTGGTAACATCAATGGCTTTCATTTTCTGCCTCTCGGGCATTTCCTCCACAAAGCCTTCCTGAAAAAGGGCAGGGTCTATGTGACCCTTCAATTAAATGGTTTTGGTCGTAGCTCTAGTGAAACCTTTAGGAAATATTTTTTTTTCTTTCTTCCAAGAAAATGATTGGCAATCAGGAAGATCTCATACCTTATTCTTCATTCATCCTATTCATATTGGGCTATTGGATTCCTTCCAAAGATGTGGCTGAATTGATGACAAATGGTGGGACATATTGTTCTTTTCAGTCTGTGCACAGTTCAAGGCCACTTTTCTTTGTTTCTTATTAAAACTGCAAACACTTAATTCTTGGGGCTTTTTACATTCTTAAAGAATTAACACTATGCTTGCTAAATAATAGGAAGTCAAGAAAATATAGTGACCTTTGTTCTCACATCTATATGCAACAGACATGATGGGCACTGACCTATTCTACCCTCTCTGTGTCCTCTGCTGAGGATAGAAAGAACATCAACTAGGTTCAGAGGTATATCAGAATTTTGTTGTTGTTGTTGTTGTTGTTTTCTAAACTAACCAATTTATAGGCTCTTAGCTGATAGTCACATAGCATCAACAGGATTTCAACACTGTTTAATTCCTGAAGGAAGAAAAAGTGATGCTATTCTTACTTTGGAATGGCAAATGAGGCATGAGTCCAACCCCACGGGAGATAGTTTGCTCAGTGAATCTCAGCTGCTTCTCTTGAGCTCTCAAATGGCTATGGGCAGAGCTGGGTTTAGAATGTACACCTATAGTCAGGGAACTTCCTTGTTAATAGGATTGGCATTCAGCATGGTCAGGAGTGACCAAATAATATTTGGCTCCTGCCTCACTGCATTTTGTTCTGACAGGAATGACTATGAGTCTATTTTGTTGTCCCCTGAAGGTAGCAGGGCTTGGATAAGGTCTAAATATCTAAGGAAAAGTAGGAAGTGATGTTTGTTTGTTTATTTGTTTTTGCTTCTTAGAATGTACTGATGACCCATTAGAGTTTTATTTTAAATAAGAAAATATCACTGTAACTCCTGACATCTTTTCTGGTGGTATGTGCAGGAATAGGATTTGCTGAGTCGGTACTTTGTGCTCTGAGTAAAACAATGAATTGAATTTACATCCACCGATCATTTACACTGTATTACCCCATTCCATTAGCTATGCTAGTTATAAGAGCTCAAGCTTACCCTTGGTGCCAGTTCTGACTTTCCTCCTTTCTAACCAGCACACCTGGATGCAACAGATTACACGCCAACCATATCAGCTCTACCCAAGCGTCTTCTTGGACACCAAAGATCCTCACTTGAGATTTCCTTTAGCCACTCCATTCCTCGGCAGGTTTGGAAACTTGATTTAATCTTTCTGGTCCCTCTTATTCTTCAGGTTGAATATCATAGAAGACACAAGGACACACTTCAGAGGGAAGCACTCTGCATATCACAGTCTACGGAAATCTGCCTTTAATATTTCTGTTTCTCTTTTGGAGGAGACAGTGGCTGAATGACAATCCTAATGGGTTTTGAAGAGGAGTGCATCCTCTTTGCTGTCAGGGTCTAGCAAGAAATGGGGTGTGGGCCAAGATAAAGTCAGACCAGGCTGAGCCTGCTAAACACAACTATGGTGACTCATTTTCCTAAGAAGATTGCTAAGAAAAATATTGGTTTCCCCTTGCCCTTCCTCTGGCTCAAACACAGATCTTTGAGTGGAAGACTTTTGACACCAGGAAAAACATGTCAGGTTAAGTCTGAAAAACACGACCTCTGAGTTTGAGCTTTCCTTTAGAGTTCACATAGAGCTGGGAGGAAGTAAATAAAGAAATAGCGGATCACTTGTGCTTTTGCTGCAACTGGACTCCAAGCCTGATAGCCAATGTGACCTTCTCTTGTGTTTTGGGGTCTATTTTCTATTCTTTGAACTTGTCAGAGCAACCCCTTTATCTTGAATTTGCTCAGAGGAAGTTCCAGAGTGCTCTTAGATAGAGAAGCTAATCAATGATGTCTATTTGTGTTTCATTCCTTCAAAACAAACTGTCAGGAAATGGATTTGTTCTTCTGGCTTCCATTCTCTCCCACTGTAATGATAGCACTTTACTTTCTTATGGAAAATATCTAGTCTATTTAATTGTATGAGGATGATTGACAGCGGCCAGGCATGGGGGCACAAGCTTTTAATCACAGCACTTGGGGAAGTAGAGACAGGTGGCAGAGGCAGATCTCTGTGATTCAAGACCAGCCTGGTCCACAAAGTGAGTGTAGGATGACCAAGACTACACAGAGAAACCCTGTCTCAAAAAACAAAACGTAAGAAAACAAAAAACAAACAAAAAACACCATAAAAAATAGAAAAGGACGATTGACATTTATATTTGACAATGCAGAGGATTACAGCTGGATTTTGTGACCAGCCTCTGCTATGTGGCACTTCTAGGGAGAAGTGAAACCCCCATTTAAGTGCACAGGTGCACAGGTTTCGGTTGTGATTTATTTTTTGAAATTTTAACTTTAGTCCTTAGGAATTTTAGTTTTCTTTTCCTTTTAGGACTCTAAAGTTGGAGCTGATTTTGATGCATACCATCTTGATATTTCTATGAGTATGAAATAGAAGGCCATAAGTGCATAACGATATTTCAGAAAACAAATTCCTGAGAGAGCAGGAATTCCTTACTCTTCTCTTCATAAAAGCTACAGTATGGACACACACACAAAGAGACCTTGCATAATTAAGACTTCTCTCAATTAGCTTTTCAGAGGCCAATTGCCCCCAAAGGCAAAGTTTATCGCCCAAGATCATTCTGAAATCCAAGGATGTAATCTTGTTTATTATGGGTTTTGCTCATTGCTGAGACCAGAGGTATCTGCAAATATCCTCTGAGACAAAATTGGATCTTAGAGAACCACTTTCCAGTTATCATACCCGTTTCCATCCTCAGCACCATCTTCTTCACTTAAAATTCACATGACTTAAATCTACATGCTGGCTGTCAAGGGTTAAATGTATACGCAGCTGGCAATGGTCAAACCCATGCACAGGCTACAGGGGTTAAACCCACAGGCGGGCTGACTCAAGAATGTATACAACTGCCACTTCCAAAAATAATAGACTCTCAGCGAGGAGGAAGTTTAAAGTGCAAGGAAAATCCAAATCTGACGACCACAGCAAGACATTAAATTTAAAAGAACAAAACCAGAAAGGAGAGGAGAGGTCGATAATAACAATATTTTTTTTAAGCAGAAAAAGAATATAGATTTGACAAGGAGGGTGCAAACAGAGAGCTATTTTGAATTGGAGGCAGGTTAATTATATTAAAAAAAAAAGACGTCTCCAGAAAAAAATCTTTTTTTTTTCAGTGCAATAGTTAAGTTCCTTCATATTATAGAGACATATACACAATGTTAACAACCATGAAAAAACAATACAAAACGCCCTCCGTTTAACAAGTAGAAAAATATAACTACTATATATGGCAACTGTGAATCTAATACTGTACAGAAGTCATTTGTGGGTTTTACAAATAAATTATAGCTTAAATGTCTTTTTAAAATTTTCTCCTCCCCCCCACTTCAGATGTACACCAGAAGTTACAACAGGAAAAGTTCCGAGACTAACTGACGGCAAATTAATGCCAGTCAAATGTTCTGCCTACTAGCTCAAAGAATTTCTTATTTGGCTCATGAAAATATTCGTGCAGTTTATCCAGTAGCTTGGGATCCACTTGGGGGTGCGCCCGGCCTTTGGACTCGTGTAAGCAGCGGTCCTTGCCACTGTCCCGCAGGCAGTAGAAGCCCTTGGTTTTGTTAAAGTAGAAGTTCGAGGCGTTGATCTGCGGTGACAGCTTCAGGAACCTTTCGACCTTCTGGATCTCAGGGAAAGGGTCTCTGATGAGGCGGTCACCATCCACGATGTGGATGTGGCCCAGTGGGAAAAAACGCAGCCAGTTCAGCATGTGTGCGTGGTACAGGCTGCGGTTGAGAGCCTTGTAGTCCAAGTTGAGCCGGCTGTCCCGCATTAGGAGATCCTCGATGGGTCGGTAGGGCTTGTGCTTCTGAAGGTGGTTGTACAACACCTGGGTATAGTCGGACAGCACGCGCTCCGATGGGTCTCTCAGGATGAGCAGCAGGCGGATGGCAGGGTTCATGCTGTGGATTCTCTCAGGCACTTTGGGCGAAGTGAAATAGGCAGGAGTCTTCTCCACCGTGAGCTGATGCGGGGAGGAGAAAGGCATCTGGGTGAGGTACCAGCCCAGGCCTTGGCTATAATGTTCCTCCCAGTCAAAAAAATGGACCTCATTCTCAGCTGCGGCCACATCAGGATGGAGGCTGAGCATCTCTAGCAGCGCGCGGGTACCACCCTTTCGTACCCCGATGATGATGGTCTGTGGTAGCTGCTGTGTGGAACCATTGGCTGCTGCACCTTCTCGGGTGTCCTCCGGCAGGCTACCCACCTTCCTCAGAAGTTCCTGCTGTCTGGGGCCCGGGCCAGGAACAGCCGGGTGGGAAGGCACGAGCTGGGGCTGGGCCACCAGCAGCACCGCACCGAGGAGCAGCAAGGTCATGCTGTACACCTCAGGAACTTCACAGAGCCTCACGCCCCTGGATCATGAAGTGCGGCAGGGATGCCTCCTGATTACTGGAACATGAGTATATCCAGTTTCCAATTACTAGGGAGGAAAGAAATAAACTGTTAACCCCAAGCAAACATGGAAGTAATCAATAGTCAGTGAGTCCTGCCTTCACCTCATCCAAACTATCTCTTTATTCTATAAAGGAGGGGTAGCAGACATTTTCTGTAAAAGGCCAGAACATAAATATTTTAGGCTTTGTGGGACATATGGTTTCCATGGCAACTCAGATTCCAACTGCACTTTATAGAAGTGAAGCAGCCAGCGACAATAGACAGAGGCAAGGGTGTGGCTCTGTTTAAATAAAACTTTGTTATGGACACAAAAGTTTTGTTGTCAAATAATTCCCATGTAGTATTAAAAATTACTCTCTGTTTTAAGATTTAGCTCAGCTTTAAGTCTTCATGTGTGTGCATGTGTGTGTGTGTGTGTGTGTGTGTGTGTGTGTGTGTGTGTTGAGCTCATGAGTGCAGGAGTCAGCAGAAACAGAGGCCTATGATGCCCTTCAGGTTAGAATTGCAGGCAGTTGGGAGCCACCCTGCAGTGTTAGGAAGTGAATTCAGGACTTCTGCAAGAGCATTACGTGCTCTTGATTGCCCAGCTATCTTTCTAAGTCTTTTCCATATTAATTGTTACTTTTCAAATAATCTGTATATTTGGTTGTGCAGTTGGGAAAGGGAAAAGGAAAGGGGGCTTTCCCGATTAGTTGTTGACTACCAGACCCTGGTAAAAAGAGCAGAAGTAGAAACAGCCTTTAGACTCCAGAAAGCAACTGAGAAATCTCTCGCTCCTGTCAGCCTCTGAAAGAGGCTCTGGTGATAGAGAAGCAGGTTGACATCTGTACCCCACATCTCTCACCAGGGGTTTCTATTCCTGGGGTGGATAGGCCTACGTGGAGGAGTATATGAGTAGTTCAGTGCTACCCCCAGCATCAGACTCTGGGTGCCGCCTCATCTTGGACAATGTGCTTCCCAGCTTTGGGTCTGGGCAACAGTATACAGGCCTATGTGACACTATGGTGAACCTATCTCTGCCTCACATATTTATCCCTGTAGCTACGCCCTTGCAATAAGAACAGATCTGGTCAGCCACAGGACTGTGTTGGAGGAAGGACAACCACCCTGGCTCATGGGCAAGAACCAACGGTAATGGTTCAGTCACTGGGTTTGGGGGGTGGTGGTTTGTTGAGTTAGGCAAAAGCCATTATGTGTACACTGACTGCAGGCCGCAGGATGCTGACACAGGCTGGGGATGTATGGTAGGTTGATATTATATGGAGAGATGTTTACTCATTTGCCTAAAACATTTGGAAAGTCTTAGTATCAGAAAGACACTGAAATGTGCTTAATGGGATTAAAAACACAACATTACTGGAAGAGCACAAAGCTTTCTTGGGCACAAAGCAATATTTCTTATAAGCTGGCAGAGCTCATGTCACCACAACCACACAGTATGGCATAGAGAATGAGGGCTACCGTCACCATCAATTTACAGTTGACAGTCTTAAAATGTAAGGACATAAAAAAGTCATAATTCATTTCAAAACTCAGGGCCCGAATTAAAAGCTCTAAATGGAGACCTTTATGCTAAGAAATTTTCTCCCTTCATTCCTCTACTTCTCTGATCTGCATCACCTGTCGGGATAAAGTTCTTCTGGGCCATCAACTGCTATCCTAGATGTAGGCACTCAAATGTATGACAAGCCATGGATGCTGCTCTGAAGAGTGGAAACAAGGAGCCATGTTTGTAATTCTCCCACAAAGAAGTAGAGGCGCTAACTTGTTTTGGTCATTCCCAAAAGGTTGGAGAAGTCCCAGCATGAGTATTATTGGGTTTCTCCAGTCAGTGAAATGTTTGGCTCTTCTTTACACCAAGCTTATCATGTACTTGACCAGAATGCATGGCCAAAGAGCAAATCCAGGGCTTCCAATTTTGTGGTCATGCTAGTTGATCTGTTTCCCTCAGACACCAAGTTATGTAGTTTGAAAAGTGTATATTAAAAACATGAGCACTGGCCTCTTCGGGAGGATAGATCAGAAGTTAAAAGTTCTTGCGTCTCTTCCAGAGGACCCAGTTTCATTTCTAGCACCAGCTGCTAGAAATGCAGTGCAACTCCACTTCCATGGCATCTGAAGCCCTCTTCTGATTTCTGCAGTCACCAGACACTCTTGTGGTGTACATACATACGTATACAAACAAACATTCATAAACATACATTGACAACTAAAAAAGTAAACTAAAACCAAAGCAAAAATCTTGACCATTGAAGCAGACAGAAGGCTCTACAGAACCAAACACACAAGAAGATGGATGTATGGGCCATGGAACACTGCAATAAGAGACTTGAGGTCAGTGAGGCAGGCCTTGGGGGAAAAGTGTTAGTGGTAGGTGTGACTAAGCAGTGTGGGTTGGGTTGGTTTGGCAAAGAGGGTTAATGCAATGTGATAAGATTGCTTTTCTCAATGAAAGAATTCAGGAAGCTTCACCAAAATTTTGTTTTCTTCTCCACTGTTCAACTGGATGGAGCCAATGAGCTATTTATTCCTGCCTGTAACACATTTGAAGGTGGTATGCACAAAAGGTCAGGGTGGAAGAGTGAAGCACAGGTGAGGCACGGAGGGCACTAACTCTGACATGCTAGAGTGTCTTGCTGTGTGTGGTGGCAACTGCTGGCATCTTTAGAGCTCTGCCTTTAGATTCAGGACTGAGGAACAGCTAACATTCACTGCTCATGTAGCAGAAGTACAGGCTTCAGCTGAATTCTGTATTATTTGGCTGCTCATGCTTTGTCTCTGTTTTAGTTTGAAGCAATTTGGTCGCCACAGAACAGGCCTGAGAGTTCTTCTTAACAGAGAATTACCAGCAGAAAGCAGAGAAAGCACTAAACACAGTTTGTCTGAAACGTTAACAGCAGGTAAAACAGGCCAATTGGTTATCCAAAACCAAATGGTTAGCCCTGAAAACAAGCAAACAGACAAACAAAGCAACAATAACATTATATAGACTGGACAGGTTATATTTAGGGACATATAAATATAAATATATATATTTTATATATGATTATTTACATGTATATACATATATACATAAGAATACAACAACAATTAATGGAAAAAGAGACCATGAATTTGAAAGAGAGCAAGGTTTTAGAAGGAGAAAATAGAAAGGAGAATTGATGTAATTATAACAACAAAAATAAAAGAAAAATGGATGCTTAGGCATTCAAAAACTCCTTGCTTATTTCTGCTTTCTAAGAATGAACTTATTTATGTCTAGATATTTTTCATTCTATAGATATTGGTGGTTTACAGGTAAAACTGACTGCATACACAACACACACACATACTATATATATATCATATATTTATTACATGTTATATATTATATGGTATATATGGTATATGTTTATGATGTACACATACATATATGCATAAATATATAAAGTGCATACGTTTATAGCTATGGATATGTATATCTAAAATGTATACATATATATTTGTGCACATTACATATATAAATATATGGAATATCACGGGGCTATGTTAACTCATTTATGTATATAACAGATATGCACATGATAGCCTTAAGTTTCTTGTGCTTTAGTATTTCAGACCACCATTGGCACAACCAAAATTACTTGGTCCTAGCAGCCTTGCTAGGCCACAGAGGAAGACTTTGCAGCCAGTCCTGAAGACACCTGATTAACCAGTATCAGATGTAAGGGGAGGAGGTTCTCCCTTATCAGTGGACTTGGAAAGGGGCAGGGAAGAGATGGGGGGGTGGGATTGGGAGGGAAAGAGAGAGTGGGACACAGTAGGGATACAAAGTTAACAAACTGTAACTAATGTTAAAAAAATAAAAATTAAAAAAAAGAAGATCAAAAGACATTTCTACAAGACAAAAAAAAATATATTACTTGGTCCTTTACTCACAGGAAAGAGAAACATGTACAAGTTCACGTAAACCTGAAAACAGTCTCTGGGCCATCCTGACCTTGACAATGGGTTTTCATACAACAAGGAAAAAAGTCCTTCAGTCTTTGCCTTTCATTTCACACATGAGGAGAGCCTGAGATGAGTTGGCTATAGCCAGATGAAAACGCTGGACTGAAACTTTCAGCCGCTGAGTTCCAGTCTAGTGGCCTGGGTGTTATTGTAATTGTCTCCCAAACAGGTGATCTTGATATATAACAATGATAGTGCTGGGGTAGGTGTTACAAAACAAAGACCCAGTGCAATACATTCAGCTATGACAACCCCTCAGCTCCCAATTCTAGATGTCAAATACACACAGTACATTAGGCATTGTGTTAAACTCATTTATTGCTTTTAGGCAGTAGATAGTCAATAGGATCTGTGCAGCCTTTGGGCCAGAAGCCCTGACTCTAGTTTTGAGTTTAGTCAAAGTGATTTTGCCACTTTGTCTCAGTCTGATCATCTGTGAAATAAGATTCTACCAAATGATATTTTTGGAACATGAATGAAGAAGTGTGTACCAGAGAGAATTACCTACCAGAAATGAGCCATTTTTGAACTTTAAATTTTCCTAGAAGCCACATGAGAGAAATCCATTTTACATGACTCAATGTATACAGAGTGTCATTGTTCCAGAATAAAATCATGAAATGAAATTAATTAGCAATTTTTCAGTATTTTGCAATAAGCCTTGATTAGTCAGTGTGTGTGTTTCTGACAACAGCAGTTCATTTGCAGGCCCTGTGTAGCTGAGGACAACTGAGGTGGGGAAGGACAGAGGCCTGTGAAAGCTGTAGTTCTCCACTTGACACCTTCATAGAGAGGTACCCTCCCCACTCACAGAGGAAAAGTTCTTGTGCAGGAAAGGAAGAAGACAGGCAAGCCTGAACTTGCAGGTGACATAAATACATTCATATTCTATCTGTTGATAACTTCATTATTCTCCCACAGGAAGTAAACCAGGCGACCTTGAACACAGAGGGTTATCTGAATGCTTGGAGCTGTCAAGGGCACAGACGCAGACTGTTCCACAGCACCTGGACCTAAGGCCAGGCACCCTGGCAA